AAGTTCCGGTTTTTGGGGTTTTTTTTTATTTTTTTTTTTTTTTTTTCTCCGTGTGCACAGTTCTAGTTTAGTTCCGGTCCATCGGGCGTGAAGCTCACAGACAAGAGGGAGAAATAACGTGCCATTTATTTTTATTTTTTTATTTTTCACTTGAAGCTCTCCATCGCTGTACATTGGACCCCGCTAATGACACATGTGTACGTTCGTTTTTTTAGTGCAATCTCTTCTGTAGATCTTTGTTGACCAAATTGGTGGGTATTGTTACTTCTTAATTTATATTTGTCTCATTTCGTATGTATGTGTATAGTGTGTTTGTAAGTATGTGTGGTTTATAACCTGACCGACTGTGTCACGGGGCTCAGTGTGCCTGTAATTTAATCCCCTCCCCTTATTTTTATTTATTTTTGTACTGTGCTGATTAAATAAAAATGCACTGACCATCCATTACACGGCAGCGGTTCGTGCTGCCCATCCATTACACGGCAGCGGTTCGTGGCGGAGTCTTTTCTGCAAGCCCCCAGCTCCGACGTCCCCGCCGCGGCGCTGGGAAATTGGATTTGCGGTGACGAGCGAGGGGTTTACGGCAGGCGCGGGTTTAATCGCGTTACCGGGGTCACCCCTTCGCTGGGGCCGGCGAGGCGGCGCGGGGTGATGGCGAGCGCCGCGCCCGGCCCGCGAGAGGTGGAAAATCAGGTTATCGGGACGCCAAAACTCCGCTTTCCACCATGAGCATCCTCTTCCCCGAGCCGCCGCGCCGGTCAGAAAGTGGCACTGCCATAGTGGGATGCAACTAATTGGTTTTCTTTTTATTTATTACAGTAAATTATGTAAACAAAACCCCAGGTCCATTATAGTAGGTTTGTTTTTTTTCTGCTTTCACACGTTAAAATATCAGTGATTTAAAAAAAAGAAAAAGGTTCATTGGATTATCGCTCCAGGCTGAAAATCAAAATTCAATTTAGAAATAGTTAATTTATGGGAAAAAAACAGGAATATATATATATTTTATATATATTTATATATATATATATATAAAACCAGAGCAGGAACAGATAATATATTTTATAAAGACACATCTCATCA